GTATCAACTATCAGACCACGGTATAGGAGATAACATAATAATAGCGGGAACACGACTGATACAACACTAAACGGCTGGACAGAATGGAATATTCTGTGATATCTTCTATACTGTGATCAGACATCAGTCTATAAATAGAAAGGTTACCTAATTTTTATTTTGAAAAAAAAAAAACAGTAAACAACATTTCGAATTCGTTTAACACATTAGTATTAATGGCTCGTCCTTTGTTGTTGCTACTCGTTAATTAGTTTTTTTTATTATTTAATTGTGATTTGTGATTAAATTTTGTTATTGCATAATACCTATTCAAATAAAAGTGAAAATGAATTTATCAGATTCTGAATGCGATGATCCAAAACTATCAACACCGAAAAAAAGGGACAGTACGTAATGAGTTGGATAAATCGGATAAGAAGATGAATAAAAAGTTATTTAAAAAAGAATAGCTTGAGTTGAGTCAGTTTATAAATATGTATTAATATGTATAAATTGATAATTGACATTTGTATTTATACTTAAATTAAACACATATTTGGTCATTTGAAATACGACAGACTTTACTAATTACCTACTTAGTCTATACCAAAATTATATTTTAATAATAATCTTTATTAGAACTAGTATAATACTAAAAATTTCATGAAAATTATATGATCTTTAATCGTACTATATTTATCATCATAAAGGTAATAAACCTTATAGACAACCGTGATTGTTATTATCAGTTGTCCATGTAAAATTAATTTTTTTCGCAATTGAGTCAAAGCAGGGAAATTTTTGGGAGAAAAGGAAATTTAAGTTGCACACAATGGGAATTATCTCTAGTTAACATTCCCAACACTGATCATATTATATACGAGTACATAATTATGACACATTAAAATATGATCTAAGGTTTCATCTCTTGAAATCGCTTCATCGTAGAAAGAAGGTAGGTATATAGTTAGRTATTSTAACATATAATAGGTAGGTATTAGGTATATGATGGCTGTTTTGTCAATAATAAAATATAATAATGAAAAAAAGATCGAAATTGTCTTACGAATAAGCCTTACATATAATATATGCTCTATTTTTATTATAATGTATGTTTTATAAATATTTGTTAAATATTTTTTGTTGATACAACGTTTTGTTCTAAATTATTATTATTATTATTCGTAATAATAATAATAATAATAATAATAATATGCATTTAATAATTATGTATTATCATAGAATAACGCAACGGTCTAGTCCATTTGGCAAACATGATTACTGAGCGTGTGACTCGACCGGCGAGTTACGTTCGGAGACGTCATCATGAGGGAACTGCCAGTGTTGACGCATACAGCACACACCTCCTGGTCCGTCGGAGAGTGTTGTACTGGTGCTGTATATGTGCAAGTGCCATGAAACAATAAATAAAAAAAACACAATATTACATTTGGGCCATCTGTTACACACAAGTTAATGCATTTGGTACATATTTTGGCGTCAGCTGTGTATTATTAGAGTRTATACAGTATAATACTATACACTGTATAATAGAAATAAGTATTTTACAGCCCCATTTATAATCATAGTACGTACACACTGCACAGTGCATTAGGTCATATTTATTAAAATGACGATGACAGCCACATATTGTGTTGTCTTTGTTTTACATYCTCGTACGTGTCAAATCTATACGTACCAGATTCCTACTAGATCTGTAACCTGTAGGTAGCTCATTTTATAGTTAGTATTAGAGTAAGATACGTTGGTATTAACGAATTAAAATATAAATAATATTTTTAAAGACATATAACTCGTAATAAAATAAATATACAAAAAAAAACTGTGCTTAGGATCTTTTTATAGTTGTTTTTCCCTACAAATTTGATAATATTTAAATTTGCCACAATGTCATCAATAAATAAACTGTAGTGAGTAAAAAGTACCTAGATTAGCCATGTAGACGTGTATAAGACATATACAATACTGTCAATACTGAATACATACAGGTTTAGCTTAAAAAGAAATTGAACGAAGCCAATGGTTTATAAATAATAGCATTAGTCGTATAGCATTTCCTAAGAACATATCAATATAATAAATTAGGTACAGATAAATAGGTAATTCATCAAGTATATCCATTCCCTTTTTCCTTTAGTAATGTAGTTATTCAAATTCAAATTTTTGAAATTTTGAGATTACTTAAATTTCTGAACTTTATTCAAAGAGTGTCCTGCGGTGACACCAGTGGCATATTTGACTTAGTTGTATGAGGGAGGGGATGACACTAATATTAYTATACACAACTAAACAATCTTAAATTCTATCCTATTTATTTTACAATGAATTGTTTTTATTATTAGTTTTGTATCTGATGACACGCTCTAACAGAAATAATGATAAACATTTAATTTAAAAAAAAATACTTTTGGTAGATAATTTAATCTTGCTTGTACATTTCCTAAATAAAAACCAATAATTATTCAAATCAGAAGGATGGCAATCAGGGGCGTATTTATGGGGGTGACTGAGGGGGCTTCAGCCTTCCCCCATGAAATCCAGGAATTGTTTATGAAGTCTGCGTATAATGTCCTATCAGATGTAAATTTTCTAACTCATATAGGCTGAATTG